GGGCTCTGCGGGCACCGCGGCGCTGATGGACGGGGCACTCGTGCAGGTTGCCAGGCAGAGTGAGCGAGCGCTCAGAGCTGGGGGCAGAAAGTTGTAGCTCGTCCCCTGAAGATGCCCCTTGTGCGGACGAGGCCCCCGAGGCCCCGCGGGAGGAGTGCCGCGTGCGCTGCTTAGGCGTGGGCTGGTTTGCGCCCCAGCGCGTGCTGCGCGGCTTGTCTGTGCCGGGTCCGCTTCAGGCTGGCACCTCCCGGTGCAATGTGGCCTCGTGGGAGTCTCCCGCGAGAGAAGTTAATTTCCCAACAATTAAGATGTATGATCAGCGCTGTTGTCTCTCCTGAAGTCGGACCCTGGTGTCATTTTAAAGGGGTGGGGAGAGAGGGGTAAAGGGACCCTAAAGGGTTTGGTTTTTATACTCCATGTGGTACTGAAGGTTTACGAATCAGTTTTAGCTCCAGCTGATCAGCCTTGCTTCCCGCAAGCCCTGCCTCTCTCAGCCCAAAGCCACGCATAATTGGAATCAGTGGCCCACACTGTCTCATTGAATGTATTAGTTCCCATTACTATATACGATCCTAATAATTCTCTAAGTAGTTATTTGTAGGATTTGATGTGTTTAATAAATTCGGCTTACCTAAAGGGGTTGGATCTACAGTGATGACATCGTATGATCCGCTGTGCCTTTTTTTCCTTCTAAGGAAGAAAAGTCCATTCCAGAAGGAGCGAAGGCACTAAGAGGCCACATCGGAGGGGCCGTTTGTGTGACTCCTCCTTGATGCACATCCACAGTTCATCTTCCCCTGGCCTCAGTTTTCCTTCTGGAAAGGGGAGGATTAGATTAGGACCTTGATATCCTTCTCCAGATATTGGATAGCCACCTTCTTATCAACCTTAGTAATTGGCACTGCCTCTCCAGGCCTATCAGTAACGGTCAATTTTTGTCTTGTGCTTCGAGCTCTTAGTTGCTTTAAGTACTGTGATTTTGTTGTTTCTGGTTTTAATTTTTTTTTGGTAAAGAAAGTTAGATTCTTGGCAGCTTTCTTCAAGTGGTTAAAAAACGTTTGGTGGCTAAAATTATTTTTTGCTGACGTTTAGGAGACGGCGTTCATCAAGGATCCAGCCCACCCACCCTCTCCTGAAAGGTGGCTTGACTGGGATCACACAGGTCTTCAGTATAATGAGGAATAAAAACTGTTTCTTGTTGTTAGCAGATAAGTCACTTACATAGTTTGAAAACCATACAGAATGGTTGCTGAATTGGTTATTCTAATATTCTGTTAATGAGGCACTGTTGCTTTTTGTACTTTATACTAAGTCTATACCTCAGCAATAGTTGATTTTTGTCTAAAGGTAGAGGAGTAGGCTCTGGTTTTTACACTGAATAAAGATTTCCTGGAGAGAGGCCTGGTTATTTGAATATTTAATAGGTGCTCCAGGTGGTTTTTATCAAGCACATTTTGGACACAGTGGAGCAGGTGTTGCTTCCAGAAGTGTAGTTGGTAGTCAGGCGTTACCAGCAAGTCAGGACTGGCAGCATTTCTGGTCTCATGTGAGGCCTATCAATCAGCATATGCAGTTCAACAAGGTCCCCAGGTGATTTGTGTGTGCAAATGGTGGAGAAGCTTTGGTGGGGACTGTGATGACTACAACCAGTGTTTGTTGCTGCATTTTGTAGTTGTTCTAAGAACTCCTGATGTATGGTCACAGTTCATTATCACATCTGTCCCATGTGGCTATTGTGATTGCCTTGTTTTATAACGATAATACTTTTATTATTTGCCTTGTATAGATGGGGACCCCCAGCTTTAGGGGCCCATCCTGCTGGTGGCAGAGCAGGCAGCCATTCAGACCCAGGCATGTGTCACTGGCAGAGCTCCTAACCTGTTTTTTTCCAGACCAGCTGTTTTGTGACCTTCTCTAAGGGACCCAGCACTGGCTGCTGTCTGAATTTAGAACTGAGCCTAGGGGAGTGACGGTTCAACTTAGGCCTCTGAAGTGCTGGTTTGATGTGGCTTAGGACACCAGTGACTGGCTCATTTATTTGGCATTTGTTTCTAAGGATTTTGGGATGGTTGGATTGAAGTGCCCCTCACCAATGGCTGTAGCATGGATACCCAAGGAAGGTTTTTGATCTGTGAGTTTTTTGTGAGGACATAGTGGGTGGGTAAAGAGAGAGGCCAGGCACTGACATCTTGAGCCTGATTCCTTTGGAGCAACGTAGAGCTGATTTCCTAGCTCCCAGAAGTTCAGGTCCAGTAATCAGGCAGCAGGTCTAGAGAAAGGGAGGCTTCAGAGCTTGTGTGATGGTGACCTCTTGCCTCCACCCAGGGATATGAGGTACCCATCATAAGCTTCAAGAAGTTGCCTTCCACGGAGCCTAGCAGAGGAGTGGGCAAACATGAAGTCCAATCCTGCCATCCAGGCTGCCATCGACCTCACAGCAGGGGCCGCAGGTAATCCCAGAGGAAACTCCATCCTCTCCTCCTCAAGGACCTTCTACAAGTGATATGGAGGGAAAGCATGGTGAAGATGGTACCTTTGTCACCCCAAAATCAATATGCTGTAACTCAGAATGAATCCATTTAGTGGAAGTGTAATGTTGAGTTCTGAGCACAGCAGAAGGTAGAGTAGTTCCCATTATATTAAAACTATATGAGTTAGGCCCTGGCCGATATAGCTTAGTGTTTAGAGTGCCGGCCGGCACACCAAAGGGTCTTGGATTCGATTCCCAGTCAAGGGCACGTACTTGGGTTGCAGGTTTGATCCCCAGCCCCAGTGTGTGTGTGTGTGGGGGGGGG